GGTATATGATGTTCTTACATCCTATGAAAAAAGAAATCGATCGATGGAAAAATAACTGGCTGCGACGACATAATTACGTCGTTTGGTTTTCTGTTTCCCATCTGTTTGCTGAGCGCCCCCCCCCCCCCCACTCTCTCTCTCTCTCTCCATTCCTTACCCACCAAAGAAGAAACATCTCTGAGTGTACAGCTCTCGGAACATTTTGATTTACTGCCTGCCACACTCCCACTTCCGTTGTTCCTCTGTTCTAGGTCAGTGGGAAACTCTGAGGTCAATACTGTTGATGATCCCCCTTTGATGTCTACCTGCCATGTGACACAGAACTGTCTGGGCGGGAGGTGGGGGGGGGGGGGGCATGGCATGTTATTCTTGGCGCTTTTTTGATGAGCCGTAAATGAGCAAGCTTCCGTGAAAAGGGTGTTGATTACAGAAAGAGTCGTTTCCCTTTTTCTTCTTCTTCTTTTTTACTTTACAGTGTATCTGTATACTTAGGCGTGTTGAAGAGTCTCACTCATTTCATTATCTTATTATGTTATTTGGTCTCTTTTAAGCACAAAGGCGTTATCGCTAAAAATGATTTTTGAATAAAATCGAAATTAAAGGTTTTGGATCCTTGTTCAAATTCTTTAAAAGACAAGAAGAGTTTTCTCTATAACCAAACTCATATGTACACACCAATGAATCCAAACTTCTAATATAAGTAAGGCAATGCCAATTTTTGGTGTAGGTCAAGATTTCTGAAAACCTCCGAAATCTGGGTTAGTCCGCTTGTCCTAAAAAGCGACCATTTATACAAAAGAAAATATTTCACTTGACATGACGAATTGCCATAAAATTACGATACAAATCAACTGTCTTCCGTTTTTGTGACTCTTCACTGGGTACTAGAGCAAGGGATAAACCTTCTCTGAATGTCTCAGAGTTTCGAGTGTGCGGTGTCAAAATCTACCTCAGTGACCAACAACCTTAAATCACAATAATTATATTTTAATGTGCCACTTTCTTCTCGACTGCTGACGGGTTGGATTATGGAGCGATAATACTTTTGCAAAAATGTTTTGTTGTGCGCTTTTTGTGGTGTGTGTGTGTGTGTGTGTGTGTGTGTGTGTGTGTGTGTGTGTGTGTGTGTGTGTGTGTGTGTGTGTGAGTGTGTGTGTGTGTGTGTGTGTATATAATGTGTTACTGTATTTTTGTTCGTGTGTCTGTGTGTGCGTGTGTTTGTGTGTGTTTATGTGTGTTTGCGTTTGTGTGTTTACGTATGTATGCGCGTGTAAATAATGTATGGCGTAATTTTGGAGTGGTGAGGAGGCGTGAGAGGGAGTTATTGAGAATGACAATTTATAGAGCTCAGACCCAACAAGAATGGCTGTCTCCGCTGTCTTTCTCCTCCTGTGTTGTGAGCCAACCAACGGTAACTTCTTCCCAGCTCACAACGTAACCATCTTGGTCATGAAAGACTTGAATGAGTCTATGAGATGTTGACAAAAACACAATTTTAAATGACAAGAATTACTTTTTAATATGCCCCTTTCTTCTCTACTGCTGTCGGGTTCGGTTGGAGAGCGATACTAATGTTGCAAAATGTTATATTTGTGCTCTTGTTTGGGGTGTGTGTGTGTGTATTTGTGTTTGTGTGTACGTCAGTGTGTATAATGTGTTACTTTATGTTTGTGCGGCTGTCAGTGTGTGAGTGTCTGTGTGTGGGCGTATGTGTGTATGTATGTGTGTGTGTGTGTCTGTGTGTGTCTGTCTCTGTGTGTATGCGTGTGTGCCCGTGTGCGCGTGTAAATGATGTATGGCGTAATTTTGGAGGGGTGAAGGAGTGTGAGAAGTAGGTATTGACTGTGACAATTTACGAAGTCTAGAACCGACAACAATGGCTGTCTCCGCTGTCTTTCTCCTTCTGAGTTGTGAGCCAATCAACGACAACATCTTCCCAGCTCACAGTGTCGCCACCTTGCTCATGAAAGATTTGAATAAGTCTTTGAGACGTAGGACAAACACTTTTGACGGACAGACAATTTCTCTGGTGAGAAAAAGAAGCACAGAGTTCCAATGTGAGCTGGTGCTCCCAAACACCGTAGTCCATCAAAGCCCTATGAATGATTTATTATCAGTCATTTTCAAGAGGCACTGCCCTACCGATGGGATAATTGCTTAATTCTATCTTTGTAACAAGTGAACAAATAAACCCAGTTGATTTTTTAGCCTGAAAGATATTTTAGCTACCGTATGTGAATTCCGAAGAACAGTAGTATATTATGGGAACTCCCTTTTTAGAACATAATAATTTATTAATGTCTTGTTACCCGAAGTATTCCTTTTGACTTGGTCAGGTCACATCGAGCTTGCTTGAGCTGTATGCCGCGCTCTCAATCTGATTTTGTTCTTCATTGAAAAGTTGTATTCACAATTAAGTGGGCGTGGCGCGGGACCCTCGTCCATTTATTCGGTAAAATTAGCTAGAGAGGTTTCCGAGGTGCGCAGACCCAAACACTTCACATAACGGAAGGAGCGGTTCGGAACAGAGGGGAAACGAGTTGGCCCATTGAGGCAGCTGGGGACACTATTCAGAGAGTTACGTGGGTAACGTTAAAGGGGCGTGGGGTTGGAACAATGCACGTAAATAGGTAAATTCAATCACGTAAATAGGTAAATACAACCACGTAAATAGGTAAATACAACCACGTAAATAGGTAAATACAACCACGTAAATAGGTAAATACAACCACGTAAATAGATCACGTAAATAGGTAAATACAATCAGACACAAATACACCAAGACTTCTGGGTGTGAGTGCGTGGTGGGGGGAAGTTATTGAGCAGCCAGCACTAGATGACAGGTACTCGTTAAAAAGCCCTGTTGTGCTCCAGATTTACACGTCTTAGAGCTAAAAAGGGGATCCAGCTACTGCAAAAACTGGACACTCCTGATGTGAAGCCGATTTGTTTTGTATGTGTTTTACGGCGTTCGCAGCTGCATAAGGTCACATGAGCGCGCGGGACACATTCAACGTGTTGCAGTTGGTAGGAAATTTTGAGTTTTACCCTGGTGGCGGCCGAACCCTACTCTTATCAATTTACGACCACCAAGGGATCTTTAACGTGCGCTACTTGCACACGGGACCTCCTAGATTGTGTGAGTGCGTGGTGGGGAGAGGCTAATGAACAGCCAGCATTAGATGACAGCTACTCGTTAAATAACCCCGTTGTGTTTAGATTTACCTGTCTTAGAGCTTATAAGGGACCCAGCTACTGAAAAAGTTGGACTCCTGACGTGAGGCAATAATATTGTATTGATTGCATCAACACATTTCAGATCACCTCAAAGGTGGGCGGCTTTAACCGTGCCAGTCAGGTCCAAACTTTGTTGGGTATGATACAAAGTGTGTAAAGTATGTATCTGTATATAACTCCAATGGTCTAGTATTTAAATTCCTGCGTGTGGTTGAATGATGCATTTGATATGTACATTTTGTCAGCTTTACTTCTCCTTTCATATTGAATTTTAATGAGAGTAATATATATAATTTATATCTTTTATGTATACCTGCATGTGTTTTTACGGTCATGTACAGCCAATGAAAATTTCCCTCTGGGATAATAAAGTACTATCTTATCTTATCTTATCTTATCTTACAACGTCTCAGCAGATGGGACTGAAATACTTACCTCAATAAACTCCAAACTTACAGTACCCTTATTTCGTGACGCAAATTTAAAAAACGACCTCCCCCAACGAAACAAAAACTAATTTAAAAGACAACAGATTGGAAAGACACATATAGGTGTCCTTGCTCTTGATGCCAACGACATCATTCCCAAATAATCCCGGAGTAGTAGAATTCGCTGCTGTATAGTAGAGCTGGGCGAGGAATCAATTCGGAACCGATTCCTACGAGTAATAATACGGAAGAAAAGTTCCGACTCATTTTATGTAAACCAACGGTTACCAGTTACTGTAATCATTAATTTAAAAAAAATAATTTAGAATCTATTTTTGAAAAATAAAAGTTGATGCTTCGTAGTGTTCCGAAATCAAGGTGATCCTAAATCCTGAAAATGTTCGGAGCCAATCAGGTAACCACAGGAAGAAACTACATCATTAGAAAGTAAGTAATTGGGTTCGGAGTCGATTCCAACGATTCCTGGCTTTCAATAATTGGGAACCTAGCCGCCCAGCACTGCTGTATAGATCTAGTGTATGTGCATACTTACTTGTATTTCAAGGCAAAATAAAGTATTCGCTAGAAATAGTTTACGTCCCAATTTTAAGCACGATGGCTATTTATATCTTTTTACTCGTTTCTCTTCCTGCTCTCAATAAGACATGCTTCCTGCAGCTCAAAATATCAATATGTTTATGGGCAGACACTTACAGAAGCGTGCAGTACAAATCTGACATTGGAGATTTATGGTCTTCTGAAAAATGACGAAAAAAGCGACTGTTATCGCTCCCTCGTTTTAAGTTCGTGGCAAGACGGATAACTCAAGAGGTGAAGGCGGATGTGGCAGGTGGTTGCCGCCCCTTGGTCGCTGTGATGGGGAAGTCTGGGCGGAGGATAAGGCCACGATGGGAGTGTGAGGTGGGGGGGGGGGGTCTGTTTGTGTGTGTGTGTGTGTGTGTGTGTGTGTGTGTGTGTGTGTGTGTGTGTGTGTGTGTGTGTGTGTGTGTATGTGTCTATGACCGAGAAAGAGAGAGAGAGAGAGAGAGAGAGAGAGAGAGAGAAAGAGAGAAGGTGAGAGAGAGAGAGTCGACAGAGAGAGATAGACGGCAGAGAGAGAGAGAGAGAGAGAGAGAGAGAGAGAGAGAGAGAGAGGGGGGGGGAGAAAGAGAGAGAGAGAGTGGGGGAGGAGGAAGGTGAAAGCTAACAGAGTGAAAGTGTCATTTACCTCTTAACGAATTTTAAAATTATTTTTTAATAAACGTTAAATATCTTACAGACCCACACATGAAGACTTTCACACTGTGTAACATGTAAAGTCATAGAAATCAAATATAAAAATGTATCTTTAATATGTAAGCAAAACTGCATTACGGTCGTATAGTGAACACAGTATAGTACGTAAAGAAACAAGACACATTTGTAATAAAACATAATGTACCACGACAGAGGACATTGTCAGAAATCTTTGTTCATCAATCTGTCTCGTCAAGTCATGTTGGCAGAAGATATTCGGAGACGTCTCCGGCGAGCACCCAGGAACTATTCGGAGAGGCACTCCTGCATACAGATGCACTGCTTTGGGAGGGGGGAGGGTCAAACTGCGTTTTATTTGCTGCAGATCACCCGCATACCAACTAAAACTTTAGCAAATCAGTTATTTCAAGAAGAGTTCAAACCTAACAGCAAAATATCAAATTATGGGTTAAAACAGAGGGGTGTGCCCCCCTGTAACCCCCCAGATTTTTTTTTTACTTGGTCTCAAGGCACATGCCAAAGCATTTTGATTGGTTTATCTCCGATCTAGCCGTCTCCGGATAGATACTTCGAGTCATGTTGTCACTCACAGCGATCGAGCGATCACATTACAAAGGTGATTAGGGGAACGACTCCTCGCTGATAGTCCGTATAGACGTGTTGTGACTGCCGATACCCTCCCCCGTCCTCTTCTTCCTCGTCGTCCTTCTCTCCTTCTTGCTGTTGTCGTCATCATCATCGTCAGAATATGTCTCGCATGGCGACTCGTCATAGTCGTCGCTGCTCCCTGAACCCGTCCGTCCACCTTTGTCTTTAGCTGCGCGGAGAGCTCGTTTGAAAGGGTTCTCGGTGGCCTGAAACAATATTTAATTGGTCTCTTTTAACACTTACGGTACCGTCGCCAGGCCTTAGCATTCGCTCACTACCACTCTCTACCTTAGTCGCTGACACAACAGTTCACACTAACCATGATTAAACAACGAATGGACACTACGCACTGAAGTAAATAGCAAAGGAGGCCACTCTACATGATAGCTGAATGGTTTATGAACCTCTATGATTTCTTAAAGCTATTTCCTTGTGCTGCCAAGTTTTTGTTTAAATTTAAAGAAATTTTACCAGGGCTTCGGCGTTCTAAACTGGTGCAGTACCCAAGGGTTGTTCACAGTATGAGCCTTCGGGTCTGTAAGTGTTAAGAACAAGTGGGATGACCTAGATTTGGGGGTTTCCAGAAATCTTAAGCAACGCCAAAAGTGGGCTTTGCCCTACCTATAGAAAAAGTTTGGTTTCATCGGTGTGTATATTTGTTTGGTTATAGAGAAAAATCTCCTTTTGAAAAAAAAGAAACTGTACAAGCGACACAAACTGTACCTTCGATTTTCTCAAAGCTGCATTTTCGGAATAGCACCATTGTGCTTAAAAGAGATCAATTAAGATATATCGTTATTGTCCTGATCCTGGCACTTTGGTTTGGTGTTTCACCATGTGTACACATACATACACACGCACTCACTCACACACACACACACACACACACACACACACACACACACACACACACACACATGAAACAACTAATACACAACAAGCAAAGCACAAGGAGACCACAATACCCCAATAAAGAACTCAAAGAAAGCAAATAGTCACTGTAACATTCTGTGCCTTCAACTCCCAACGGAACACCAGAATATCAGTAGCAAGTCTGAAAAGACCAACCTTTGACAATGTAGAGAAATTCCATTCCGGTATGGCCACATCAATATTGTCGTGTGTTGTGCGCACGGCCCTCAGTTGTTCGATTCTGTCGGGCTATGACATAACGGGATTTTTCACTATGCCGAAAAGCAGCAATTTTGGAGTCCCGACAGTTTACCAGCTCTAACAGGGTGACGATAGATTCTATCTACAATACAGAAAAAAAACAAACCCAAACTGAAATGGTAGAGAATTTTGTTGTGTTCGATTAACTTGTTGCAATAAACACAGCTCTGCTCAGAAACGGTTATCGTGTTGGTGAAGTTATTTCCAGTAAGTCTTAGAGTGTTGATTTGTCGAGCCTGGCCCCACTTGAAAATGACCTCTGGTCTAGGTAGAGACAGGAAGGACGGTCACAGAACAAGTCAACAACAGATCAATTGAACAACTTGTATATTTATATACTTGTACACTGGTAACAAT